AAATTTAATGGTGCTAATAAAACTCAGCTCTCACCCAGAGAGACAGCAGTAAATAAATGGCAGTAAATGCAACAACCACAGCACCTGCAACAACAAACGGTGAGAATCAGACAAGTATATTTTTAATAATAAAACTTTGTAATTAAATCTATAATTAAACGGTTTTAATTCCAATCTAGTTTATAAATCAAGGCACCACTTAAACAGGGTGTGCTTTTCCTGTGATGCTTTCTGACAGACACGTTGGCAAGCCATAATGAGAACTATCCCAGCCACAGCTGGGAGTTGTTGGTAGCGGTTCTGGTCTCAGCCATCGCCATCTCTCTTCTCATCGCCCTTCTGGCTAAAGGCCATGTGATCCGGCGCTACCTGGCTAGCTACAGGCACACACGGCTGCGGGAGATAGACACCACTAGCCGGTGTGACTCAACAGGTTTGTTCTTCTATCAACAAATTTCTTGTATTTTTCTAAAATCATGCATAATTCACAATGTTTGCATTAAATGTATTTGCAGTCGTGTCAAAACTTAATTATAAAGGGCCATACAACAAAATAAACATGTAAATATTAGAATTATATTATTTCAAAGAAACACATAAGGACTATAAATGTTTGTCTGTTTGTCCTAAAACAACAAGCACGAGAAGAAAATGACACTTTTGACCTTTGCCTGAGCAATCCAATCCATTTCCTAATGAAGCCTTATCCCAGATTAACCATACCTATTCCCATTTGTTTTTTGCCTGATTCCAGGCCTGGAAGTGGAGTTTAACATACGTGAAGCACGTGGAGTGAACCCTCACAGCCTTCCTCCAGTGAGCGAGGAAGATGATGACGGCTTCATCGAGGACAACTACATCCCAGCCAGTGAGAGGGCCCGAGCTGAGAGAGCAGCTCAGGACATGCACACAGACACAGACGACGAGATGGATGTGATTGAATTCAGCATCACTTAGCATCAACATCTCCTCACACACACCAGTTCCACTCCATTTTCATTATTTTCTTTTTTCAACTCGCGTTCTGATTAAAAACGTGCTGACCAGAAATTCATAATTGCACATAAAAAGGAAAAAGGGACTATATTAAAACAGAAATTGTGTTTGCGTGGGCTAAAGACCTTAAAGACCTCCAAAATGATCAGTTTTGACTTATTATTAAGCACAGGGGCACTTCTACAAAAGTAATTCATCATGTCAGAGAAAACTGAGGGTTTGTTTGACATATTTGGAAAAACATCCGTCCATAAAATGCTCTGATTATTTTTCCTTATTCCTCTAAAGAGAAATTATAAGATTATTTTATTTTGAATGTTTGGAATCAGAAGCCTTTATTTCCTAACAATCAAATGACTTTTTGCATAATTTTGTTAACCATTTAACTCAGGGATGTCCAATCATTAAAATATTGTCCTTGCGAGACATAAAAATTAGATTTATGTATGTTTTTTACACAATGCAAAAAGTATTTCATGGTGACTTAATTTTATTAGTACCCCTCAAAGTTGCTCCAAGGTAATCATATTGGCACAAATCTGATACATAAAAATGTCAGGAAGTATAAGTCTACATGAACAGCCCGGAGAGACAAAAGTGATCTGGCGGGCCACACAAAATTACTCTGAGGGCCATAAAAGACCCCCTGGCCACACTTTGGACATGCTTGATTTAACTTAGAGATGTTTTACATTCTACCTGCTTCAAATACACCTAAAACAGTCAGTGGGAACTCTGACACAAGTCAGGTTTATTCCCCTGAGAGCAGTCCTAATCATAATATCCACCCCACCATCCTTAAAGGTCAACTTTACCCATATTTTTAATACATTTGCAGTAGTCTCTAGTAGAAATGAATGTCTTTTAAGTTGTTCTCTGGGAAAAAAAGCTCCGGTGCGCCCGTTTGAGGACGCAAAAGTCCGCCGGAGGAGAGAGTGGCAGAACACGGCTGGATTGTGAGTGTTATTTCCTAATATTTGGACAGCAATGTGACTCTATACTGACTCTGTTTACTTCGCAACCTTGATGTTTTGTCTCCACAAACAACACAAGCATGAAGGAGTCCTGCAGTGTTGTGGAGATGCTAATGCTAACTGTTAGCTTCTGCTATTTGAGGGGTTCTCTGCTGTTTCCTGGATGCTAAACCAACAACAGCCTTCCCCGTCACAAGTCAAGATGTGTGAGTCCATGAACGTTAAGTGACAGTGTGAGGTAGATCCGTCAGGTTTTTTTTAAATCCTAGAGGTTAACGCAGAAGCTAAAGCAGGAGATAGGTGTAGGAGACTATTTTCATGTTCAGCCTGCGTGTTAAACTCAGAGTGACCGATTATAATCAGGAAGGATAATTTTGAAAAATCAGTGAAGTTGACCTGTTAACATGAATCCAAAATCCTTGTGTTAGCCTTGATTTTATGGTTTATCCCAGATTAACCATACCTATGTGCCAGTAGTCGTCGATAAAACCTTCCTCTGAAGCATCTTATAGCAAACAGCTGCTGCAGTTTAAGATGCTTATTAATTAAAATATGAATGTGAGTGTGTGAATGTGTGTGTGAATGGGTGAATGACTGATTGTGTTGCAAAGCTTCTTGAGGGGTTCCAGGAATCTAGAAGGCGCTATGTCAAATACAGGCCATTTACCAAAGTAAGCTGCAAACTTTTCAAAGGCTTTAAGAACCAAGACAAAGTTGTTAATTAATGGTGTTAGAAATAAATTACCTCTCAAACAACATCAGGATGTGGCTAAGTAAGTCCATTTCTGTTCATATCACACAGCAGCAAAGTTTACAGTAGCAGTAATATAAATCCCAGCTGCCTGTTTAGATTTTAAATTCCAATTTGCATAACCACATGTACTAGTTTAGCTTTCCTCTAATGCTAATGCAACGCCACACAGAAACATCTGCATAATTATTCAGGATATTAGTTATTTATGATAAAACTGCAGCACTGAATTTGCCAATTTACACTGATTCACTGTATCAGGTGCAAGTAATGAGATTTCAAGGTGGCTTCCATGCTAATTTTCTGTTATGAATAAGATTTAAACTGACCTGTCAGAAATGATTTCAGGGAAAATTGATTAAATGAGAAATTGTGAGGCGTCTGGAGACCAATTTCTGCATTAATCAATCTGCTCTTGTCATCATTTTATTTGGTACATTTAAAAATAACTTGGTAAATAACTAAAAATCTTTTATTTTATACAACTGCAGCACTTTAACCAAAACATATACAGGTGCTGGCCAGTAAATTAGAATATCATCAAAAGGTTGAAAATATTTCAGTAATTCCATTCAAAACGTGAAACTTGTACATTATAGTCATGCAATGCACACAGACCAATGTATTTCCGATGTTTATTACGTTTAATTTTGATATTTATAGGTGACAACCAATGAAAACATCAAATCTGGTATCTCAGAAAATTAGAATATTCTAAAGGCCAATGAAAAAATGTTTGTTTCTCTAATGTTGGCCAACTGAAAAGAATGAACATGAAAAGAATGTGCATGTATAGCACTCAATACTTAGTCGGGGCTCCTTTTGCCTCAATAACTGCAGTAATGCGGCGTGGCATGGACTCGATCAGTCTGTGGCACTGCTCAGGTGTTATGAGAGCCCAGGTTGCTCTGATAGTCGTCTTCAGCTCCTCTGCATTGTTGGGTCTAGCGTATTGCATCCTCCGCTTCACAATACCCCATAGATTTTCTATGGGGTTAAGGTCAGGCGAGTTTGCTGGCCAATCAAGGACAGGGATACCATGGTCCTTGAACCAGGTGCTGGTGGTTTTGGCACTGTGTGCAGGTGCCAAGTCCTGTTGAAAGGTGAAGTCTGCATCCCCATAAAGTTGGTCAGCAGCAGGAAGCATGAAGTGCTCTAAAACTTCCTGGTAGACGGCTGCATTGACCCTGGACCTCAGGAAACAGAGTGGGCCAACACCGGCAGATGACATGGCACCCCACACCATCACTGACGGTGGAAACTTTACACTGGACCTCATGCAACGTGGATTCTGTGCTTCTCCGCTCTTCCTCCAGACTCTGGGTCCTTGATTTCCAAAGGAAATGCAGAACTTGCTTTCATCAGAAAACATAACTTTGGACCATTCAGCATCAGTCCAGTCCTTTTTGTCCTTGGCCCAGGCGAGACGCTTCTTGCGCTGTTTCTTGTTCAAGAGTAGCTTGACACACGGAATGCGACACCTGAATCCCATGTCTTTCATGAGTCTCCTCGTGGTGGTTCTTGAAGCGCTGACTCCAGCTGCAGTCCACTCTTTGTGGATCTCCCCCACATTTTTGAATGGGTTTGTCGTCACAATTCTCTGCAGGGTGCGGTTATCCCTAGAGCTTGTACACTTTTTTCTACCACATTTTTTCCGTCCCTTCGCCTGTCTGTTAATGTGCTTGGACACAGAGCTCTGCGAACAGCCAGCTTCTTTAGCAATCACCTTTTGTGTCTTGCCCTCCTTGTGCAAGGTGTCAATGATTGTCTTTTGGACAGCTGTTAAGTCAGAAGTCTTCCCCATGATTGTGGTGCCTTCAAAACAAGACTGAGGGACCTTTTAAAGGCCTTTGCAGGTGTTTTGAGTAAATCAGCTGATTAGAGTGGCAGCAGGTGTCTTCTATATTCAGCCTTTTCAGAATATTCTAATTTTTTGAGATACCAAATTTGGAGTTTTCATTAGTTGTCACTTATGAATATCAAATTTAAATGTAATGAACATTGGAAATACATTGGTCTGTGTGCATTGCATGAATATAATGTACAAGTTTCACGTTTTGAATGGAATTACTGAAATATTTTCAACCTTTTGATGATATTCTAATTTACTGGCCAGCACCTGTACACACACACACACACACACACACACACACACACACACACACACACACACACACACACACACACACACACACACACACACACATATATATATATATTCAAATTTAGGGATGTGTCCATAAAAAAATGGAAATTTCTAATAAAATATTGGCCCAGACAGGCAAAATGTTTCTTGATGTCACAAATGAAATAAGAGGTTACCTTCATCGCACTACTTTGTAACAAATATAAATCCTAACAAGACAGTAAAATATATAAAAGCATGTTAAAACAATCATTTGTTTCATTTTTTGACTGAACAAGCCCAGTTTCAAATGAATTTTTAAACTTTTAAAGAATCAGTCTTTTGGTCCAAATGCAAATAAACTGTACCAGGTATATTTTGACCATTGGGAGTTATAGTTATCTAAATTTAGCTTCACTTTTGCAGCCAATTGATAAAATAATGTGATGTTTTCAAGACATCACCATTTACAACCTTTCTAATCTCTATTCAAAACTGAGTGACTAATGAATTGAGTGAATTAAAGTTAAATGTTTGACAGAAACCAGTTTAGTATCTGAACAACACTAGTTTTCTCTAAATGTTTCACAAAAGAGAAACAAGAAATAAAAAGCGTCATGTAAAATATCAGCAAAAGAAATAATCATAGTTTTGCTGTGTATTTCACAACACTGGTGTTGTGCTTTGAATTTCATCCCTCCTGAAAGTTAGTGAGGGAATTCGATCACTCGACAACCGGAAGTGGTGTTTCCGTGATCACAGAGAGCTTGATGCTCCGGAAAAAGCAGCGAGTTACAGCGAAGCGACCGAAGCGAGTGGGAGCGGAGAGGAGACTAGAGCCGAGGAGGAGGATGAGAGCGACCCTTCACACTTGAATGGCCCATATCTCACCGTGTTCTCCGATATTTGCTAACCCGCATCTTGTTTTCGAGGGTTTTACTCCACCAGAATGTCGGCATCAGCGATATTTATCCTCGACCTGAAGGGAAAGGTAAGTTTATGACGACTTGTTGAGAGGAAGTTGACATTTTTGGACGAGACACCTGCCACACACGAAACTGTTTCAACTTACCAAAATAAATCTATATCATATTTGACTTTTTTGTGTTCAGTCACGTAACTACGTACATTTCCTCTTATGGTTGTATCTAAAAAGAAACTAGTCTCAAATGTTTAGCTAAATTAGCAACATTGAAACTGACTGGAGGAGAGACTCGACTTGTTAAACTCGTTTATGCTGAGTTCACACAGGAGGCTTGTTCTTGTGCAGCGATGCAGTCTTTATTCTACGTGTAGTAATTCGGTTTCAAACCACATTTTGTGGCGTAATTAAAGTCACCCAATAAACAAGTAAATAAATATTTGTCGGACAAATAAGAGATGTGTTTAAAAAGAAACAGTTTTGGTAATTCACAACTTTATGATTAATTAGGTCAGTAATTGAGCCGACAGTGCTGGTAAAATAAACCTACTGTTTCTCTTTATGTCGTGCATTAAATTAAAGTTCATAGAAAGGCACAGATTCTGGTTTTGGTGGCCGATACCAGTTTTCGTCTTTTGTACAGCTCTGCTGATGCTGCAGTACTGTGTTTCCCTTACATAGGCGTAGCCACGGCTCAAATGTCAGCGCCACGCCTACAAGATCCCAAGTTAATTATATATATATATATATATATATATATATATATATATATATTGCGCAGTTTCCCGAAGAAGCAGCGGGAACTACTCTGTTGTTGCTTGTCATCACAGCCGTTCCTCCACTGGAGCTGGACCTGGCCTCGCTGTTTGGCGCCAAGAACCACCTCGCTGGCCAGCGAGCAGTTCCCACTTCTAAGTATCACCATCTGCTGGCGCGGCTCACCAATCGCGCACACCAGTGCGCCTTCCAGACCGGCGCTGCAGGAAATAACATCGCCCTTCATGCCTTTGGCATCTCCAAAATGGTAGAAGAGCTCGACACTCCTGACGAGTCGAAAAACCATCATTACCAAAACAGCTGATGCCATTCTCAGTCTGTGTGCTGCTGTTCTCACCGGTTCTGCTTGCATTGCTGCCTGGCAAACTAGGGTTGTCACGGTAACCGGTATAGCGGTAAACCCCGGTAAAAAAGTTGACAATAAAAATAACCGTCCAGTTTTTAAAAAACTATATTATCTCGGTGGGTTTACCGTGGCCGCGGTTTCGGCGCGGTGACCCTTACCAGCCACCGTCGCTTCAGCTGAAGTTCCCGCGGCGCGCACACGCACTTTTTAATTTGCAACGGCACCAAAACTTTGAAGCTGAAATAATGGCCGAAGGAGGCGACGGCAGCGCCCAGGACATCCATCAGCCCTCAAAGAAGACTAAATCGGAAGTATGGGCATATTTGGGATTTCTGAAAAATGCTGAGGGACAGTTAATAGAAGACGGCTATCCCGTTTGCAGAACGTGCAGGAAACAAGTGTCTGCAGAAGGCAGCAACACTTCAAATCTCATGGCACATCTGCGTGACGATCACCCACGTCTCCACAGCCAGTGCAAGGTAAGATAACATTAGCATTTTAGCTGAAATGCATGACGCGAGGACTTTTGGCTGAGGGAGAATGCAACGAGTCACTATATACTGCAGCCGCAGCGCCCTCTGCCAGCATTTAAACCGTGTCACGGACACCCTGTTGCTGGATGAAGCATCTTATTTGTTGATGATGAAGAGAAATATACAATTAGTTCCTTGTCATGGATTTGTTTACTTATTCAATGCCATTTATACTTGAACGTTTGGATTTGATTACATAGTGTAGTAGTTATTTTAGTAATTTTTTTAAGGTTGACTTGTACAGTGCTCAAGTCAAGTGTGGACTGGAGTTTTAGATTTTCATTTTGATAATGAAGAAAACAAGTATATGAGAAAACAAGTGGTGTTTCTTTGATTTGTTTACATATTGTTTATGTTTTGAATGTTTGGATTTCTATAATTTAAACCTACACTGACTACTGTAACAAGTTCCAGAAAAATAAGCTATTTGTTCCTTTACTTGTGAAAAGTTGCACTTTTGCTAAGGCTTTGTGTTATTTTAGGTTTAATAAACACTGTTAAACCTTTTCAGAACTATTTCAGTTTGTGTAGAACAGGACTATCAATGCTTTCTGAACATATGCAACACCGTTTAAAAAATACCGCGATAATACCGAAAACCGTGATAATTTTGGTCACAATAACCGTGAGGTTAAATTTTCATACCGTGACAACCCTATGGCAAACCCTTTTCCAGCGGGCCTTGTGGCTTAAGGCCCTGCCCTTCATTCCTGAACACCTGCACAGAGAATTGCTGGAAGGCCCCATCACCTCTGACACTCTGTTTGGTCCCCATCTTAGGAACGCCATCGAGAGGGCTCAGAAGATAGCTGAACTGTCAGCCACAGTGCGAGACCTGGTCCACCCCCAGTCCGCCTCTCACTCCGGCTGTTCCTCCAGAGGATGGGATGAATCTGGACGAACGGTGCGGAAACTTCAGATGCCCAGCTGCACCTCTCGCCCCATGGAGCCGGCCTCCCGCTTTGGTTCCACCTCAGCAGGACCAGAGAGTTGGTAACCAACAGTTTCGAAAGAGCCAGCAGGCGCCGTCTTGGCCATCTCAGTCACAAGAACCTCGCCGAAAGCAACCACAAAAATGACTCGTTGGGGGCAATGTGTGTGTTTCTGACTGTAATGTTAACTCTGTGAATGATGTTGGTTTTGAAATAAAACCCAAAAAACGTCACATTGAGAGCAAAATCCTACAGTACTCTGCAGTCCTCTCACACATGTTCCCCACACCAAGCGCTGCGACACACCTGCATGTTCACACAGTCAATCATATTACACGCCCACAACCAGCTGTAAGGGTGCGCTCCATTTGCGCACCGGCCCTAGCTTCCAGCCAGGCCCAACACATCCCGCTCCCCCCACAACGTAGGGTGGGATGGGATGTCATGGTGCTATAGCGACCACACGCGGCATCACAGTGCGCGGCTCCATCTGCTGGCACTTTGTCGTCCCCGTGCATGGGCCCGGCTCCCACTCGTCCTTTATCTTTGGACACCACACTCTGCGGTGCGGATCAGCCTCTTCCAGCTGTTTCACACTTTCTCTTTCGAGCACAGCCCTCCATGGGTCGCTCCCAGTTCTCCTCTGGTGCGAGCGACAGCGGTAAGGGCGTGAACCCAGTCCTCAGATGTCGTTCACGTGAGCTCGAACACGCGTCCGCTGTTGGAACGTGCGCAAGAATGATGCTGCCTTTGTCACATGAGCAAATGGGTATCGGACACCATTCGTTACGGTCACATACTCCATTTTTAGTCCGCTCCTCCTCCCTTCAACGGGATCGTGGAGATGACATTCACGTCACAGGAACAATCTCAGGCCCTAGAGCTGGAGCTACTCCCGCTACTTCGTAGTACCGAAAAGTCGGGAGGAATGAGACCAATTCTCGACCTTCCCCTGCTCAACTGCTCCATAGCAGTGATGCATTTCCGCATGTTAACAATGAGGCAAGTCCTAGAATACGTGCGCTCCGAGGACTGTTTCACGTCTATAGACCTGCAAGACACATACTTCCACATCCCAGTAATTCCCAAACACTGGAAGTTCCTGCGCTTTTCATTCAAGGGAGTTCAATACCAGTTCAGTCGTCACCCTTTCGGGTACTCGCAGGTCCCACGCACCTTCTTCAAAACAGTGGAGTCACTCCACTTATATACCCACAGGGGTGCCCACCATTGGTGGGCGTACATTTAAGCACTTCATGATTGGCTGATGCGGAGATCACCCTTCCAATAGCAGCTAGCTTAAGGGCTGCGACTAGACTCATAGAATCTGGGGTTACAATACGTAACCAACGTTTGCATAGCCACTGGGTCGTTGGAGGTGCCCCGTGACTGCCTGATGGAAAATCAGCAGGTTTCATCAGACTCGTTAAGTTTCTTGTTTTTGCTGAGGACCCCATGTATTTTACCGCTCCCTCCCACAGTTTTCCCCTATTAAAATTTAAAATGATTCTGTATATTCAGTGTATCAAGAGAAAAGATTTCTGCCTCTGCCACCTGCAGCAGTAAATGTAGGGAAGACCGACTTGTCTTCCAATATAAAAAAAAAGAGGTGCATTCATCTGTGTATCGCCTTTTATCCGCATTAGTGATATTTTCAGCACCAGAACAATGAAGAAAAGAAACAGATTCCTGAGTTTATGTTAATAATTTTATTTATTAGGTTCATCTGATCTGTTCTATTTTTCTCTGAAATGAGATCAAATCAGTGCTTCTATTGGTTGTCTCCTCTCTGCACTAGAAATATGTACTTTATTATAATGTTCACTGTAATGCATCTTGATGTTCTTAAGAAATAAATTAAATAACAAATATTGGTCAATAATGCCAAATATGTAAATTTGTGTGTCAGTCATTTTTATACTGGCTTAAAAATACTTCATTAAGTCTACTAAGCAGGGGTATAGAACGTGTTTAATAGGGCCAGCCCAGTAATGATCTTGGACCAAAATAAAGGGGGCAGAAAGTCAAATAAAGGGGGGCAGAAGGAGATGTTTTTCCAGACGCCAAGAAAAATTAAATGCCATGTAGGCTCAGTGAGAGATTTAGTCAATTTTCACTTCGTTTTTAAAAATGTTTCAGACCACCTGATATTTCAAGAAAGTTCCAGTTTGTCCAACAATTAAGATTCCTGAAGTCACTAGAAGGACAATGAAAAGAACTGCTGAATAACCTGATCTGCTTGACAACCAAACCCATCAGGGAGAGGGATCCATCAATCATGGTCTGGATGCCTGATTGTTCAGATTAAAGGTTTTATTTTTCTCTCTCTCACCAGCTATTTATCTCTGCCCTGGGGCAAGTTAAGCTTGGTTTATGCTTGACGCATTCACTTTCCGCGCGGTGATGCGGCTCGCGGCTGGAACGTATGGTGTCAGGTTTCCGCCAAAACCCGTGCAAGCGTAGCCAAAACCCGTGCACGCGTATTGTGCACATCGCGCGTGCGAACGGGACTCGCGCGTGGAGGTTAGAACCTCATGAGTGAAAATATACATGGCGAGGAGGTCATTTGTACACTGAGAGGGAGCAAACTGTGTCTGTGAGCGCACAAGGATGTGCACAAGTGACAAACCTGCGTGCGCTCGTTGGCCAACGAGCACACGGCAGAGGAAAACATGCGTGCGGCAGCCTCACTGCGCGCTCGGTGCGGCAGCCTCACTGCACGTGTGGCAGCCTTTCTGCGCGCTCGGTTTCTGATTCTGCTCGCTCGGCTGTTGGGAGTTTTGGCACTCTGGAGGCGTGGAAGAATTAAAGTGCCAGAAACTGAGCAGTTGAACTTTCAATTTGAGAGCAGAATTTCATATCAAGAGGCCATCTTTTTAATTTCAGAATACTATTTTATATTATTGCTCTCAAAACTTGTAATGCTTGCGCTCAAAATGTCTGCTCTCTTTCAAATTCACTCTGTTCTCCTTCAAATCTTTGTTTTTGCGCTCAGATTTAACCTTCTTACACTGGTATTGTCTTCTCATGTGACAACTTTTTCTCTACACGGATCAAAACTCCTCCCACAAGTCTGTCCCCTGCTCTCACGGATCTTGTCTGCTCTCGCTCAAAACTTAGAAGTACAATCTCCTAGCAACCGCTCAGCCAATAGAAAGACTTGTGGGACTGGGCGGGAACAAACCTCTTTGGGGTGCGCTCGTTTTGCGCTCTGTTGATTTTCCTGTGTGGCTGCCGCATCTGCGCACTAACAGCCTGGCTAATACCCGCTCTGATCTGGAGCGAGAGTTTCACCTGCACCAGCAAAATGGACCAGAACCAACAAGACGCTCAAGTAAGTTATTTTTCAAGGCTACTAGCTGCAGTTTATTCCATAAAATTGTTTTGTTATGCTACTTTTTACGACTCCTCGCATTTAATATTGCAACAGGGGCACATAGCTAGGTGGATTAGGTTATTCACTATAGCTACAACTTTCATAAAATGGCCTCAGCAGATTTGAGTTTTACCCTAACATATCACTCGTCCCCAATGCTAGCTCTGGACCTAGTGTAGATGTTTTTTGTTTAGTATTCCCACCTTTGTTTTTAATAGTTAGCTCTTTGGACATTACAGTAGTTATTCGTTAGCGTTTACTCCATGAACATTGTTTCCTCATCTAACTGCTAACTATCAAAATGTGTTTCATCCATCGACATAAATATATCCCAATGTTTTTCTCGCGCTGTAATGAACAAGATGGGTCATCAAAGTAAGAGAATGTTATTAAAAAGTGGAACTCGTTATAATTGAACGATGGAAAATTTTGACCAAAGCCGTAGGAGAAAACCGTTTTTGATAGGGAAACACATTTTGACACAACACCTGCCCTGACTGGCGCGTCAGCTAGCTTTCAATCGGTTGGTAGGTTTCTGAAAATATTAATGCTATGTTAAGTGAGTGTAATCCAGTAGTAATTTCCCCAACAAAATAACAATTTCTATTTTTGCTCAATTCCTGCCTCCTTCCATTTCATTTTGCACTTGCATTATTTCTTTTTGTAATCCTGTCAAACCTAGCCGCTGGTCTTTAAACATAATGAGCCTAACTTACTAATACTGAGTCTGGGGTTACATAAGCAGTAACAAAACAAAAACAGTTTCTGTTTCTAAGTCTCAGCAATGAGTAAGGTTGTATTTCTGGTGTAAGCGAACTAACATTTGTTTTCTGTGAAATGCGCGAAATGTTGTATTACACAGTCTGTGGTACCATGATGCAGCACAATTCACTGTTGCATGTTAAACCACAGAAGATGTAGATGAAAATGAATGTAATGGCTGAGGTGGAGGACCTGTAATGACACCAGAAAATAAGAAAATGTGTAAAAGCTTTATTAAAAGTTTAGTCCTGAAATTCTCATGGTAATCCAGGGAAGCAGGTTGGTGCATGGTCAGGGAACAGGCGTGGGTCAGGGCCAGATAAACAGCAGGTTCCATCCCAGCTCCAACCAGAGAGTGCTGCTGTTGTGTCCTTGGGCAAGACACTTAATCAACTTTGCCTGCTGTTGGTGGTTGGAGGGACCGGTGGTGCCAGTGTTCAGCAGGCCCGCCTCTGTCAGTGTGCCCCAGGGCAGCTGTAGCTACTATCTGGCTTATCACCACTGTAAGCATGTGAAAAGGGTGTGGCTGTTGTGTAAAGTGCTTTGTAGGCCTTGGACTTGATAAATTTCAATAAATGTGCAAGCCAATTACAATTTTTTTCAATTTGTAGGTGTTTCCCATTTGCTGTATAACCAAATACAACTTTTTCTGTGTTTTTTGTTGTATTTCTTTAGACTGGTTCCATCCGAGAAGTTACGAGAAACCTTATGGATTTACTGAATGCTCATCTACAAGCAGAGGGCCCGCAACAAACACCAACTGTGCCACAGCGCACAACACCAGCGACAACACCTTAACAGACTATCCCTCGGTCTACAGTTCATCAAGAAATGTCAAGGTAAGTTAAGTGTAGAAATGTAAATATTTGACATCTGCATTGGTCTATTCAGTGGTTTGAAATTAAATTATTCCAATGATGCTTTATTATTCATCTTAGAAAGAGGCTTTCTGCAATTGACTGTATTTTTTTTTTTTACATAGTGAAATTAAATTCTGAAATAATGTAAGCAGTGTAGTATAGGCTACAGCTAGGGCTGGGCAATATATAGATATTTTAAAATTATAAATATAATTTTAAACGAGAAACAAGATGACTTTGTATTGATATAACTAGTCAAGCCACATAAGCTAGCAACTAGCTTGCTCCGTCTGTAAGCGGTCATTTCATGTATTCTCACAAATCTGCTCAATCAGAAAACCTCTGGGTAAATGTTCTGCCCTAAACTTTGCATTTGGCTTCATGGTTTTTAATTATTTGGGGATATTCGTTCATGTTTCATCAAGCCTGTTCACCGTGGTTACCAACGGAGTTCTGTTTACCCCTCCCTCCCTCGTGTAATTGGGAAACCACTACAGAGAGCCGGAGTGGCCAAATTACCTCAAACATGTTGTAATGGCTTCAGCTGTAAACGTTAGGGTTAACATTTAATTTTGAAGGTGAGTTCAGCGCTAAAAGTTTTTCTGGTTCCGGTTTTTGATGCTTTGCTATGGTCGGGGCTCAGCCACGTGAGTTCGGAATAGAACGGGTGGTTTCTTGTTCACATGTGATTCCCAGGGCTTCTCAGGAATGCGGAAATCCCCGAGCATGTGGGCGGCGGTAAAGACGCGCGGAAGAAGTCTGCGGTGTCCGCCTATGCTAAACAATAATTCCTCATCAAACCGCTGCACCAGCACACACTGCGCTTCTCTAATAATCTGCTCTCCTCTAATCCTTCCTACTTCAGCGCTGTAGTGTCCTCCGCTGCAGACGTGTCCTTATAACCACTGCTACACACACACACTGCTGTCCTCCTCTGCTGCGGAGCGGGTGACAGCAGCTCAGTGCTTCATGTGGGCTAAACAGCAACCAGGATGAAAAGTAATCGCATATGCGGAAACCCCCCGGTGTTTGATCCAACTCCCCAATAGGAGGCGGTAGGTGTGAGTTTCAGCTGCCAATCAGTCCATAGTGTCTGCTCGGCACCAGCCGGACCTCCGAGGGAAGTAGTCTGAAAAAAAAGTCTCCTTAGAACGAAATACACACATGTGAGCCATATGCGAACAAAACATTTGGTTCCGAACGCATCCATGCCGACCCAGATGTGAAAGTGGCTTAAGTGAGGGAAAATACTAACATGGGATGACTGTGAGAATAAGGAGTAAAATAGTTTAGTTTTAAAAATAGTTTCCAGCTCAAAACAGGAGACTTGACAGGTGTGATCCTGGAATTGTGGATGAAGTCTGTCAGTGAAGCTCTTGGGATCACAGCTCCACCTCTCAGTTCAGACTCCACAGAGCTCCTAGTGTGTGAGTTCTTGTTCTCTTCTGTACTTTTAACGTTAACGCAGGAGAGTGTTTGCTGTTGTATTTCAGTTATAATGTGAACAACCACACAAAACATTAAATTTACTCAAAAATTCTGAATGGATTTTTAAGACCTGCCGTGTGAACGTAACCTTAAGCCTGATTCATGCTTCTCCGTCTGCGTCAGTGCGGAGACACGCAACGTCCTTGCGTGCCTGCCGGAGAGCTCCGCAAGGACGGACGGAGTCAAGCTCTCTTTTCTAAACAGCCGTCAGTCGAGACAGACAACGCAAGCTTGTGATTGGTCAGGATGCCGCTGTTGTTTACAGCACCGCCATTGCACCCTCAAAAACATAAAGAGAGCCGAGGATAACAAGCGGCAGACACGGAGCAGCTTGAAGAATACCTCGCGAAAAAACTCTAAAAACATGAACTTTTAGTTCCCCCGTGACTGGAGGAGAGAGAAGATGCGCAGCAAGCGTTTTATTTGTGGACGGAAATGACAGGAAACGTGGGTTTAGAGGTGGCGAGCGCATGAAGCGGTGGGAGAATGAGAGACAAATATGTCCGTGTTAAAAGTCTCTTATATACACAAAAAATACAATATAAACACATTATCTTGGACCGATACATGACAGGATACCACAGAACAGCGCTACGCCCTCTGTTGTCCTGCCGAGGAATTGCTTTGCAACACTCTCCAGGAGACGGAGAAGTGTGAGAGCAAAACACTTCCGTCAATCCGTGCGTGTCTGTCCCTTGCGGAGCTGACGGAGAAGCATGAACCAGGCTTTAGACAGCATGTTTCTCTGTACATAAGCCGTACCATAGACATCATTGGCTGCTGGAGAGTAACTGCTTCACCGCCATATTGAGTAGGTTTCTAACTCCAAAACCCAATTTGAATCCAGTCATTGGAGCAACTATGCCTGTTTTTGTGCAGCTCACAGTTCCAACAACCAGCAGTTACATCTGCCTGTAAGCTTTGTTTGTTAATAAAGTTATATAAAAATAAAAAAAACTGTTACGTCACGATCTCCTTGCTTTCTACAGGAAGTTTAAAAAATTATTTCAATAAAGATTGAAACACAAACATGAAGCTAAATGAGGAGCTCTATGAACATACTGAACGCCGCTTTAAAAGATACTGAATGTGAAATATGGCATTTCTCTACTGCTGACTGATGAAAGGGAGTCCGATGTGCCTGTTGTCATTTTGCAGGAGGTTGAACGATCTGACAAGGTAGTTAGCCCGTAAAAAAATTGTGCTGCAACACTCCCAGTGCTTTTTTTGGTGGCCTTTACGGCTATTCATTGGTAGGCTCATCACGGAACACAAAAATGTAGCTTGTTTGTTATGATTTAGGTACGTACTGCCCCCTAGTGGCAGAAAACTACAGACTGTCGCTTAAAGAAATAGCATAAAATGGCCAGGGATGCAATTCAATATATATTCTCTTCTACGGTTTTAAAATTTTGAAATAATTATCTATCGATCGATTAGATTTTTTTAAATTAATATGCTTTTATTCATCAACCAGCCCTAAAACCTACTAAAGGTTAAACATTTTAAATTGCAAACTGTACTTAATTACGGTGATGCAAGTAAATGACAATTACACCCCTGCAAAATAGTAAAAGTTCTAAATCAAAACCATTTTGAATTTTTGTTATTCTTGTCCCTGCTATTTGTAATTTTTTTTTTTTATCTAATTTTGACATATAGTAATCCTGCACAACAATGTGATAATTTGGTTTCTATTAAAATTTAGGAAATTTTGCTTATTTGTTGACAAATTGCAGCTCAATATAGAAACATCATCATTGTTCTCTTGTTGTAATGTCAGGATTTCCAAGAGCCAGACATCGACTGGGATGTTGCTGCAGAGTACAGCCCAGATGTGGACGGTGCTGCTGTGGTCCCGGAGTTCGACAGTCCCCTCACTGAAGAGCAGCATGCTGAACTGCATCCATGCTTTCGTTCTTTTTTAAACACAGAAACAGTTTTGTTTACCTGTTAGTAGCTACAGTTTCGCCGACGGCTGCCGGCTTCTTCAGGCTGACGCTGTTGGTGGCGCGTCACTTCCTTCTCCGTTTATCTGCGGGCAGCAGAGACAACTGCCCGCAGATAAACGGAGAAGGAAGTGACGCGCCACCAACAGCGTCAGCCTGAAGAAGCCGGCAGCCGTCGGCGAAACTGTAGCTACTAACAGGTAAACAAAACTGTTTCTGTGTTTAAAAAAGAACGAAAGCATGGATTTAGAAAGACACAGCAAGAACACACCTAAGATGCTGAACTGCAGTTGCTACTGGCACAAAATTGGGAGCGTTCAAACACTAAGGAACTTTATCTATTGTGCAGAGAATATGTTAATGCTGCTTTGTCAGATTAATGTGTACTTGAAATAAAAAATCAAGAGATCAGTTCCAGTGCTTTTATTAATGTTACAAAAGAAATACATAACATGTATTTGAAATGGCAATAAGCCTAACTTTATGGATTCATGTAACAATGTCGCTTTCTAGCTCCAAAACATTACATTATTTAACAAAACCATTTGTCTTTTTGGATTCAAAGTTAAATTTGAACCATTATACAGTAACCTGAACCCAGAACAGTGGCCATCTTGTTTTCACTTAATGTCTGCTAAAATCAAATCTATCACAGACTGCCTGAGTAAGCTGACTTTCAAAGTCAGTGTATGTAGTAACGTGCCATGTAGGTAAGGTGATTAAGTGTGGTCCATACCGGGTGGTACTGTCGTGATCAACATTTAGTTATCTTGTAAAATTCTCTTTCTGTGTCTGTTAGTGGCACATGTGCCTGGCCTGAAACCCACTGAAAAAAATCCTTGCACTGACAACTGCTTTGCTCCACAGCCATCTGATGGGCTCCCATCTTGGTCATCTGTTCCTGAAGGGTGAAAAAAAAATCAGTGTGTCACTAACATGATTGAGGTACTGATTACCTCTCTGTAATTAAGGTGTAATGGCTAAATCAGTTTCAAAACAAATATATTTATAATTTATTTTTAAATTTTTTTTATTTGATGGGGGATTGGGTGAAACACAATGGTCTCTCTGACACTTCAAAATTTTCTCAATCAATCAATTTTTATTTATGTAACACCTTCCACTGCCTTTGCAGGAGCCCAAGGCACTGAACATAACAATTTAAAAAAGAGCTAAGCATTATGAGCAGTAAAAGTGGAATAATCCTGCATGGTTCTGTGGCTACCTCCTTCTTCCAGGTTTTGCAAGAGGTCCTGCAAAAAGTTGATCATGTCCACTTCCTTTGTGTCTTACTGATCCATTGTCACTGTACTGAGGAGCCAGTGCCTCCACAACGAAGTCTGCATCCACCTACAAAAGACGTTTTTAAAAATACTGTGAATTAAAAAGATAAAACTGTTAGGGCTGCTTCTGCTTATCCTGCAGAGCTAAATTAATATAAGAAAATGAAGATGTATACCACTAAAAATATGTAAAACTTCATTGCCATGATATTAGAATAAAAAATACATCTGATAGCTTCCTTAAAGAAAACTTAAAATTGCTGTCTGTAAAAAAAATGATAGCTGTAAAAAAATAAATTGGGGCAAACATTGTTAAACAAACAGATTATTGTACTTGTGAATCGATTTGATTCTTAGTATTTTTATAAGAATCGATTAGAACTGTTGATGGAACAAAAACAGCTTCAGCTTCTCTGCATTTCCTATATGTTTTTGTAATGGACATATTTTTTTTGCAGAGGCCTAAAGAATTTGTACTTACCTGTTTAAGGTTCCCAGGAAGAAAGAGGGGCTGAAGTGCCTGGTGGTGTTGTGGCAACAGCTCATCCAAACCCTAGATGGCCAGTCCTTCTCTAAGCTGACTTAGCATCGGTATGAGTCTCATCACCGAATGCAAACTGATGGCCCTAGTAAAAAGAATAATGAACTTGTAATAACTCAATTTTCAAAAATTGCATGACTTGTTTAATGCTACATTAACATAGCCTACTCAATGATGGCCCTTTTGCAATTGCTGTGAATTGACCAGTGTAGCCACATGCTACAATGGCATCAGAAAGGTCTGTCAGTGCGTCTTCTTCGGCACGTTCGACCTTCAATCAGAAACACTTGTTAGTACAATTTACAGAAAATAAATTATTCTGTTTAATTTACCTCCTGAATCAGGTTCTGGATTGCCGTATCAGTCACCTCTGGCACATCTTCATTTGTTATTTGTCCATGACGCAAGAAATGGTAAGACCAAGTAGAAAAGAAATTCGGTGCTGGTCCTGCTTGAACCAAGCTGGTGGCAATGATCTCCCCACAGATCCTCAACACAAAACAAGCCAAATTACACTGCAGAGCAGCATCATACTGTACATACCTGTATCTGTTTTCCTGGTAGTAAGAGATACTATATTTGGGGTTTTGCCTTTGCATGAAACTCCTTCAAATAAGTTCAACTCAAGGCCTCGCATCATTTCTATTGGGAAAAAAGAAATGACAGTTTGCCATTTTCAACTATATTCAAAGTTGGTATGTTGACATTAGCAAGGAATACATACCAGTTAGGAACTCTCGGCGTAGTGCTCCTTCATCAATGTCGTGTTCTCCAATAAAGGAAACAATTAGCTGGTTTTTGGGGGAAGCCTGCTTCTGTCTGGCCCGCTGTTTCAGACCTCTCTGGTAAAGGTCGTCCCTTGTCACATTATGTTAAAGGTTTTAGTGTTGTCAACTCTTTCTTGTAGGAACTTCAGGATGTCTGATAAGCTATTGACAACAACATTGTGTTTATTATTATTTATTTTAAAACCTACACATTAACACAAATATTTGTAAAAATTCTAACCAGATTAAGTGCTTGGAAGAGTCATCCACATCCAGTATGATGCTGTTCAGATGTGGAAACAAACAAAAAAAAAAGATTAAACTCTCATAACATATTGTGTACAACGTGCATGGGTAAAAACATGCACCTGTCCTCTTCCTCCTTCACCACAAAAGCTGGCATGCAGTTGTATAGACTCCTGAGTAAATTCTTATCACACAATGGACAGGAAACCTATTAAAGACATTTTTTTAAATCAGTGACCAACAATCATTGTTAAGTAAACAATAATGATTAACATGAAATGTAATTAAAATATTCTGTATATTGCTAACGTGCATGTTTGAAGTTTGATTTAAAGGGATATTCCACCCTATGTGAAAATTTGTCTACTGTCTAAATTGGCTCCTGCAAATGTGTTACTTCTTACTTTTCATTTGCAGTCAACATGATTATTGAGCTCAACAGGAATAACTGGTATCATAATTTAGTAATTTTACAGTTTTGCACACAAAATGCTACTACCTCCCATTAAGTTACATGGTTTATTCTCATCTAAAGCAGACAGACTGCTGGCAGATAAGAATTACTGCGCTGGTTAAAACAATCCTTTTTCATTCACTTATCCAACTCTGGGGAATACGGCACTAGAAAACATTTTTGGATCTTTCCCTGACAGATATCTAGCCCCTCATAACTCGATCCCCAGTTCCTGGATAAAACACCGGACATTTTATTCCATGTAGGACCCTAATCCACCTAGCTATGTGCCCCTGTTGCAATATTAAATGCGAGGAGTCGTAAAAAGTAGCATAACAAAACAATTTTATGGAATAAACTGCAGCTAGTAGCCTTGAAAAATAACTTACTTGAGCGTCTTGTTGGTTCTGGTCCATTTTGCTGGTGCAGGTGAAACTCTCGCTCCAGATCAGAGCGGGTATTAGCCAGGCTGTTAGTGCGCAGATGCGGCAGCCACACAGGAAAATCCACAGAGCGCAAAACGAGCGCACCCCAAAGAGGTTTGTTCCCGCCCAGTCCCACAAGTCTTTCTATTGGCTGAGCGGTTGCTAGGAGATTGTACTTCTAAGTTTTGAGCGAGAGCAGACAAGATCCGTGAGAGCAGGGGACAGACTTGTGGGAGGAGTTTTGATCCGTGTAGAGAAAAAGTTGTCACATGAGAAGACAATACCAGTGTAAGAAGGTTAAATCTGAGCGCAAAAACAAAGATTTGAAGGAGAACAGAGTGAATTTGAAAGAGAGCAGACATTTTGAGCGCAAGCATTACAAGTTTTGAGAGCAATAATATAAAATAGAATTCTGAAATTAAAAAGATGGTCTCTTGATATGAAATTCTGCTCTCAAATTGAAAGTTCAACTGCTCAGTTTCTGGCACTTTAATTCTTCCACGCCTCCAGAGTGCCAAAACTCCCAACAGCCGAGCGAGCAGAATCAGAAACCGAGCGCGCAGAAAGGCTGCCACACGTGCAGTGAGGCTGCCGCACCGAGCGCGCAGTGAGGCTGCCGCGCGCATGTTTTCCTCTGCCGTGTGCTCGTTGGCCAACGAGCGCACGCAGGTTTGTCACTTGTGCACATCCTTGTGCGCTCACAGACACAGTTTGCTCCCTCTCAGTGTACAAATGACCTGCTCGCCATGTATATTTTCACTCATGAGGTTCTAACCTCCATGCGCGAGTCCCGTTCGCACGCGCGATGTGCACAATGCGCGTGCACGGGTTTTGGCTACGCTTGCACGGGTTTTGGCGGAAACCTGACACCATAGGAACGCGCTTCACAACTCGCAGCGTTTATGGTTTGTGCGGCTTGTCTCTGCGGTGAGCCAATATTCTCCCAAACTGTAGGGGGCAGCATGGAGCTCTACGGCATGCATCCAACACTACACCATAGTAGAAGTAGAAATTACTGTTTACAACATGGCATTTCAGCATTTTTAACAGCGTCCTCGTCTTTTCCGACAGTGCGAGCTATTTCTCTCCAAGAATTATTAACAACATGTTGATCACGGTGATCTCTGAGAGCTGAATCATACAAATGTCTGTATTTACGAACCTCTGCCGTGCCGGTCCGCCATGTTTTTCCGCGTCCGACCGTCCGCGTGGTTAGAAATTTTCCGAGGTGCGCGTTGCGGAAATCTTGGGCCGTGCGGAGACGCGGTGGAGGGGCGTGGTTGTTAAAATGACGCAAAATGACGCAACTTTTCCGCGCGGAGCCGTGCGGACCTCGCGGACGCGTCAAGCATAAACCAACCTTTAGTAGTGCTGCTCCTTCAATCCCCACCCTGCCTCTGGCTACATTCTGATCAGACAAGGTTCTCTTGTTATGGTAAAGACGAATACGATTGTACAGTATAGCTGCAGTATTAAATGAAGGTGCACAACCAAGTTAGCATATTGAAAGTGGCACCATACATGCCTACAGCCAAGAGACGAGGACTCATTCAAGTGGTGCACATAAAAATGGACTACTTCAGCATTCAGAGACATGCTTGGGAACTCCAGGGTTCTGCAGAAGCTGGTTCCTGCACGTGTCCTTATCACTCCTCCATCAGGTCTGCCCCTTTCTGTCTTGACTCCTGCCCGCATATGGCTGGCTGCTAGAATGGACTGTACTCACTAAACCTAAATGTCAAGGTAATGATATCTGCATTGTATGCTCCCAGTTTCATAATAGTTTTTGTATTAACCCTTTAGGCGCCATAGTTCTTTCAGTAAAATATGAATTTTTTATATCACTATTTAAGAGCTTGCAGCTTAAATCTGGTTAGAGATAGAGGAATATTGTAAATTATAAAAAACTTTAGTATGAGCCAAATTTTGTGATAGGAACAAATTCACTCACATTATTTGCATATTATGACATCATCAGGTGACAGCCAAATTGGATTGCATCACATTTGCAGATTTTTGTAACATTTTTTATGTTTTTGTCTTATTTTCTTAGTGTTGTTATTGTTTATGATACATATATACATATTCCTATGTAGACATATGTAACTATGTATGTATATATATAATATTTATTACTTTATTGCTATTTTGTTATGTTTCCTGCGTATCAATCAAGAACACTGTTTTTGGTGCTTCAGTGTCATGAACACATTTCACTCATCCCTTCTATGGTTTATTTTGTTTATTATATATATATATATATATATATATATATATATATATATATATATATATATATATATATATATATATATATATATATAATCCTCAATCTCAGGCTTTTCCACAAGCCCCATGCAGAACTGAATGGCAATGAACACTTTCATTTCTGGGACAGTTACATCGTACCAGTCATTATATCTGGAGCTAGATTTCAGTTCCTCCCTCTCTAAATACTGGTGAGCATATCGGTTAGTTTCAGTTGTGATGAGGGTCCAGAATTCCTCATCTAAAAAAACTGACAGAAAATCAATGTGTTCTGAATTTGACAGATCCCTATCTCCACAGTATCCAACTGGCTCATCAAAATGCCTGATCCACTTTGAAAACTGTTCCTCTTCTCCCAAACTAACCCAGCCATCATCATTATTATTGTCACTGAGGCTGTGTTGGGCCACCCCCTGCTAGCAGTGATTTTTTTCCCCCCGTGGTTCCTCCCTCTCCTGCTGCAATTCCCGCAGTTGAATCACCCCCCACCCCCGGGGCTGAATCGATCACCGAATTGATCACCAGCGGAGTTTTCACCGGCCCATCACAGCAATGGCTGAGTAGTCAAACTGGCATTTGTAGGGTTAAAATCCTCAAAATAGTGGAAGTTTTTATATGTTTAAGCAGGACTGAAGTCATATTTATGTATACATTTTTATAGCCGTTTTTACCAGAAGATGTCTTTTTCTTCTAAAGACTCAAGTTTGTAGTAAATTCAAGTGAAGCCTGAGGGTTAAAGGCCATCTTTCATTTTAAACACATGTTGAAGTGCTTATTTAGTAATATGCTTAAACTTTATATTTTCACTGAATAAAGAAAGATATTTGAAAATAAAATGAGCTATTAATGATCCAACTCTGCTTACCTAGCTAATCTGGTTTAAAACAGCGCCTCTAGCTGGAAACCGGAAGTGATGCACACGGAGGAAAACATTTCCGACTCTACCAAGCAATGGATTCACAGCCGCAGGACGAGGCGTCAGAATTTGAACACGAATTTACAGTTATTTATAATACTGAAGGTGCACAGCCATACAGTTTTGAGCCAGCAGCAAGAGGGAATGAGAACAGGCAAAACAGAGGTAATTTAAATGTTGAAAGAAGAGCTATAGAAATGTGGGAACTTCAAAATGCACACAGACTTGGAAATGCTAACTGGTAAGAGCATGTTTTATTTTTTAAAGATATTTAGATAGAAAATGTCCTCTGACAGATTACATCAAATACCTAGCCACATAACAAAGAAATACTAAACTCAAATTAAAAATGGTTAATTTATACAAAGTTTGGGTCAAAGTTCTTCGTAGCCCTAGCACCCCTTTGTTAAATTAGCTTTTTTTCATTAGTTGATATTACATTAACCTAGCCTGGTAAGCCATCCATGTGAAAATATCCTTGTGATTCAGCAAAAAAGATTCTAGGCTGATGACATTATTCATAAATCCTCCGCAAACCTTTTCGTATACCGTATTTTCCACACCATAAGGCGCTATTAAAAACTGATCTTCCCCTGAACCGGCAGTGGGCCTTTTTAATACGTCGTCTTCCTCCACTTATCCGGGTCCGGGTCACGGAGGCAGCATCCCAACTAGGGAGCTCCAGACCGTCCTCTTCCCAGCCACCTCCACCAGCTCCTCCGGCAGGACCCCATGACGGTCCCGGACCAGATTGGAAATGTAACCTCTCCAGCGTGTCCGGGGTCGACCCGGGGGCCTTCTGCCAGCAGGACATGCCCGAAACACCTCCCCAGGGAGGCGTCCAGGAGGCATCCTGACCAGATGCCCAAACCACGTCAACTGACTCCTTTCGATCCAGAGGAGCAGCGATTCTACTCCGAGTCAAAGTCAAAGTCATTTATTGTCATTTCTACCACATGTGCAGGACATACAGAGAAACGTCCCGAATGTCCGAGCTCCTCACCCTATCTCTAAGGCTGAGCCCGGCCACCCTATGGAGGAAACTTGTTTCGGCCGCTTGTATCCACGATCTTGTTCTTTTGGTCATTACCCAAAGCTCTTGACCATAGGTGAGGGTTGGGACGTAGATCGACCGGTAAATCGAGAGCCTGGCTTTCTGGCTCAGCTCCCTCTTCACCACGACAGATCAGCTCAGCGTCCGCATCACTGCAGATGCCGAACCAATCCGCCTGTCGATCTCCCGATCCC